CTTAGCTTGCGATATACCAAGCCTAATCGCGGGGTATCGTCTTCCTATGCTGGTATTAACTGGCAATTTAGCGGAGTGTTAGTAGTACTGAACCTTTCGAATGTATAAGTCGGAGTGGATGCTGATTTGAGTCAGCGCTGAGATTCATGTCAACTAGGATTTCTGCTAGTTTCCGACTACGAGGACTAGGAACTGCTGTTGGATGTAGTATGTGAATGCTGAGGTGGCTAATAATAGTTGCTGTACCTGCTTATAGCAACAAAGTATATTGTAATGCAAGTTCAGTAGACACAGTCCACTAAATTGGAAACCTGTTTTCACTCAATTTGGGTTTAGCTTGCTTTGAGTGCGCCTATGTGGATATAATACACAGCTAGCTTCCTATAGTAGGCCAAATAAATGTTTGACCTCAGTCTCGCCGCTTGGCGTCCTCCAATTTCAGACTTCTGCAACATATACAATATCTAGTTTTAGATAAGAAATTGTAGAGCATCATTTATCTAGTAGAAAGCAAGCTTCTCCGGCAGTCAGCTTGTCATTGAAGCTTAATAAATTATTATAACAGTATTGATAATTCAGAAATATGACATGCATCCAATTTTTAATAATGCAGTATAATGGGTGGAGAATATGAGCATATCAGCTTAGGTCTAGGTATTTATACTGCTAGATACTGGTAGCGGCATTGTTATTTCTATTTAACTGACAGTAGGAATGATGAATGCAGTAAGTTGAGAGCACACTACAAGCACTACCCAAACGACAGCCGTAAGACAATACAGTATCAGGCCAGTACAGAAGGACGGTCTAAATCAGTGCAACAGGAATAGGGCAATATCAGTGGTGCTGGTAGCATTAGGGATAGTAGTGATACTAGCCCATTAGGGCTTACGTTGGTTTTCACTCACTCAAATCAATCCATCAGTCTTTGTCATCTTATTGGTTAAAGGGACGGTATTAAGTAATATCGCGGGTTCTGTCATGCCTTTATGTCACATGAAGCTACTTGCAGTTTTCAGGCCAACTCGTTGACTTCTGCAGTGTCACACAGTGCGTAGGGGGGGGGAGGGAGGGAGGAGCATGCTCGAGTCAGCAGTGAGTAATCAAAGTGAATTTGGGTTAGTGGGCGCGTTTGTATCTGGGATGTGGAGGGATCAAGGTGGATACCTGGAACACCATGAGTTGACGATGCATCCTGCCATTATTACTAGTTGGCTCAGATTTTGAGTCGGGATTATAGTTTGTGGCCAAGTATCAGTTCTAATAATCATACTTGCTAAAGCCAGTAAGTGGCAAGCTACAGTGCGGTCTGTAAATGCATGTAGGAACATTTAACCTAGTAGGCAGTCGTAACCTATATGGGGATTTTAGTAAAGAGTAGCGTTAAAGAACGTGTATTTAATAATAGCTAAATATCTACCAAGTCCAGTAAATAATATACTATAAATACTGCCTGCGTGGGCTTTTTAAGAAGTAACACCAAATCTGTGGGACTAGCACATAGATAATGAGCGTCTGTAAATTAATGCATAAGTCCTACCATGCCGTTATGTCAAGCATTTTGCCATCTATAGACTACGTTTAGGCCTACTACAGTATCTATCTGTAGTAGTACGACAATACAATATCAGGCAGGTATAGACCAGACACTGCGTGAGACCGGGCATTGCTGAGACCGGGCACTGCTGAGACCGGGCACTGCGTGACAAATTGGTCAGACGGCTGCATTCTCTCTCGAGCCGGCAGTCATTCCAAGCTCGCTCTCACTGTTCAGCAGAGATAAGTGTCTTG